AGCCCTGTTTCTACAGAGCTGAGCATTTCTGCTGATTAAATAGAGTCTGCTCTATTCTCAGAGCACATGATTGCACTACCAGAGAGAAACTGCAGACTGAGCAGGTGTGAACAGGATTCAGAGAGCAGCAAGAGAGAGCGATAAACTCAGCTTCTGTGACCCCAAGGGTCAGCCAGGCCCTCCTCAGTCTGAGCTGAGGCCAGGCTTGGGGAAGCATGCCTAGAGCCAAGCGTGGAGCACAGACAGCGTTGTTCATGGGAATAAAGAGGGGTCTGGGCAGGCCAGGAATCTGCTGGAAAACCCCCTTTGAAGACAACCCGACAGCCAAGATGACCAAGCAAACTGAATCCCAGTTCTCCAGCAAAGCCCTAAAGAGAGACTCAAGCTAAAAATGTTCTTGGTCTTGGCCTGAATCTCCATTTTAACAGATCTGAGTACCTGATTGTTTGTTGAGGATATATTAAGAATCTGGGCTTGCTTCTTGGGCCCCAGTGGTTACAACATATTCCTCCCTGCAGTTCTAGAGATGTCCTGCTGCCAGGCATAGCCTACTGACCCAAAGATGCACAGCCCTGCCCTGGCTTGCATCACACCGACCCCAGGTTGGTCCAGCTGACCAAGAAGTAGAAAAAGGGGGAGGTGCCGAGGAAACATTGGGTGGAGGCAAGGAGTAAGCATACAGTAGAAAGGGAGCACAGGGGGCAGATGGAAATCACGTGGGAGGAAACAGAGAGTTCTTTTGGTCGGACTAGAAGGCAAGAAAGAGGTAGGAAAGTTTGGGGGCATCCTGTCTGTTCTCTGCACTCACGAGATGACATCAGCTACAGACCCTCCTCAGTGCATGGAAAAGAGAAAAGAGATGCCTGTATGTTTTCAGTAACAAGAATTAAACCATAGGACAGACTACCAAACGAATGGCAATTATAGCCAACTAAGTCAACTGCTTACCATTTATGTCTAACTACACTGCCATGAAGATTGTGTGTATCATCGGATGGATGTCAAAAACTAAATTTTTGTTAGTTTTACTTTTTATTACAACACTAAGCTATGTTCCTATATTCCTCAGCCTCATAATTATCGGTTAATTAGTATGCCACTTATTCACAATTTTAAAAAATGAGACACTACATTAGGTGTTAGAATTTGCTTAAAGGAGGTGGCCAGAGACAATCTGTGTTTGGGGCGGAGTGAATGTTGGAATTATGTTAGCAGTCTGTGGAGACACGAGCTCTCTTGACGGTGTCGGCAAAGAAAGAATAAACAGAATCCTAACCAAAGGCAAAATGACAAAAGGAAGCAACAAGGCTTCCGTTTTGAGAAGGGAGAACTGTGGTTGCCATACTTCCTACTTGATGACAGATTAATTAGAGACTCTCATAGTCAGGAAATGTAGACATCCAGTGATTAGCCCAGCAGACGGACAGCTCAGATTTTCCCCAAGATAAGGAGGTGCTTCTGCGTAAGTTCTAAAAGGGGCCCAGGGGGCTGGGTTGGGGTGAGGATGGGGAGTATATAAGAAATACATAGACTTTGGTTTAAATTTATTACTGAGGGGTCCAGGGGGTTGCTGGATCCTTAGAAAGGTAGAATAACGTGATATTACTGGGTAGCAATAATGTGGGTTTTTTTAACGCAATGGAAATCTAATAAAGCACTGGATTAGAATTTTGACTGCACTTCCAATATGTTACGTGGATCTGTACAATTTTCTAACCCTTTCTGTGCCTTAATTTCCTTATCTATAAAATGGAGCAGTAATACCCCTCTCACAAAACTCTTGTATATATTAAATAAGATCCCCACTGTGTACATCTCAATGGCAATAAACAATAGGGGAAGCACTTTGTGGAAGATTTGAAGTTGAGATCTTTATCTATTTAATAGTTTCAGCATTTACATCTATATCTTTGATCCGTTTTGAGTTAATTTTTGTATATGGTATAAGGTAAGGATCCAAATTCATTCTTTTGCATGTAGATATCTGGTTTCTCTGGGTGCTGGGTTTTTTAACTCTTAGGATTGAAAACAATGTTCTATCCAACTTTTTTTCTTCTTGCATTTAATTATAAGTACATACCTAGGTTATGGGAGCAGCAGACTGTAACAATCAAAGAAAATTACAACATGTAATGTTACCTTTTTTTAGATATACATAATCCTATACTTCCAGATTGAAGTTAGGCATTGTGGCAGATCATATTATTGCTCACAAATTCACTGTCTCTTTTTGTAGGGGGAGAATCCTTTCCTATCCTGCTGACAGCAAGCTTGGCCTTGTCACTAGCTTTGGCCAATGAAATCTGGCTACAATTTACCCACTGTCCCAGTTCGAGGCTACCCCATTAGCCTGGACTATAATGAAGACAATTAGGAGCAAAGAGACAATTGACCCATAGTAGACAAATAAAGGGGAAAGAATAAACATTTGCTATTGTGACCTATCAAGATTTTTGAGGTTGGTTATTATCATAACATAACCTAGACTGTCCTAATTGCTACAAGAATGAAAAACAGGTAGTTCAGATAAAGATATACAATAGCACTGAACAATTTGGCAGTGCGAGCTATTTAACGTAGTGGCTAGGAGGGTGAACGCTGGAGCCAAACTGCCTAGGTTTCGATCCTGGGCCCCTACATACGAACGTGACCTTGGACCAATCACTTCCTGTCTCTGTGCCACAGTAAAGATTCTTCTTAAGCTCCCAGTTTATGTTAAGCACTAGAAATGTTTCTCAAAATATCTTGATCTAACAGAAGGCTCCACTTACCAAATATCTGCAACCACTTAGAGAAATGTATACGTAAATGAGCAGATTAATTCTTTATAAGAGGAGAAATAAATACATAAATACAAGGGTGAGAGGTTGAATTACTATATCCCTGTGACGCATAAGAAATGAAATCATTTTATTTTGATAGGCGATATCTACTCAAGGTTACACAAATAATAAAAAATACTAAAAGGCATACAGTGAAAGCCTTGATCCCTTCCCCATTTCATCAGCCCAAATCCTCACCACAATCCCACAGGCAACTACCTACTCGTCTCTCGTGATGCTGCCCACAAACAAATACAAGCAAATACGAATGTGCAGCAAGTCCTCAAACATCATCATTCTGTTCAATGTTGTTTTATCATAATGTTGCCATGGGAACTTAACTCTTGTTTTTTATCACTTAGCTTATGATACAATTGGTTTTGCCACGGTTCTGAGACCCTATCGACAGAGTTAATGTATAATCATTTCTATTCCTTCCTTATATAAAAGGCTAAATACTAAATTCCGTGTGCTCTGTTTGTCTCACTTACCAATCTATCTTGGAGATCATTTCTTCAGTGGCATAGTATTGCATTGTACGGGTAAAACATAATTTAACCAAATATTGATATCCCATTCAGCTATTAATATTTTGTTATTATAAAACGCTATAGTGGATATAGTTGTGCTTATGACACCAGCAATGGAAACACGGCGGGGCAAACTAGGGAGGAGGATGAGGCTGAGAAATGCTGGAAACAAGGCTGTGGAAAGCTGGATAACACCACGGTAAACTGGGGGTCTGTGACAGGGGACAGGAAAAAGAGAACTAAGAAGTGCAGTGTATTTATGCACCTTTATGTTCATTGTGGCACTATTCACGATAGCCAAGATATGGAAGCAACCTACGTGCCCATTGATAGATGATTGGATAAAGAAGTTATGGTACCTATATACAATGGAATATCACTCAGCCATAGAAAAGGCAATCTTACCATTTGCAATGACATGGATGGACCTAGAGAATATTACGCTACGTGAAGTCAGACAGAGAAAGAAAAATACCATCTGGTTTCGCTTATATGCCGAATCCAAGGAGCAAAAGAAACACACAAACTAAATGACAACAGACTCATAGATACAGAGAACAGACTGGTGATTTCCAAAGGGGAGGAGGTTTGGGGGGCAGGGCGAAAAAAAACAGTCATAGGGGTGGGGGGTATAGTACAGGGAATATAGTCAATATTATTGGAAAGGCTGTGTGCAGTGCCAGACGAGTGCTAGAGTCATCAGAGGGATCATGTCATAAATTATATAAATGTCTAGCCATTGTATTGTCTATCTGAAACTAATATACAATAAAAATTTTTAAAAAAAGAATCGCTCTGGAGAAACAGAGCCACAGAAAGAGAGCTACAAAGAGGAATCGGGAGAGAAGGTGGGCAGGAGAGGAAGCAGAGAGGGGCTGCTGTGGACCTTGAAATGACTGAAGTGTGTGAGAAAGGCAGGAAGCAGCCTCCTCCTCTGCCCTCTGCGCGTCCATCAGCCCAGGCACCCAGCAGGCACGATCTCCCCTGTCACTCAGCTCCCAGCGCAAAAGCTCCTCTGCGGCAAACAGTATCAGGTGACAGACGACCTCCCTACCTCGCTCTCCCTCCCCTACCCTGAGAAAGTCCACCAGTTACAGAACGTGCCTGCATGTAATAAGCAGACCCCTTGAGACTGTAAAGGGGCCCCGAATTGTGAGGTGAGTTCATTCTCTGAACTCTGCCAGCTAAGAAAACACGCAGAGAAGTACGAAGGCAACAGGACTTTGGGACAGAAATCAAGAGGGCATGTTTGAGCCAGAGGAGGAATTGGGAGCTTTAAACAAAGGACACAAAGCAGTGGACATATTTTTGGATGATTCAAAACCTAGAATTAAGTAGTCATATAATTCTTCAGTTGGAGAATATTTTTCCCAGTTTTTCCCGTTTAGAAATCTAAATATCACACGTTATTATCATATTTATTTTTTTTAAAGTTGTACTGTGAAATGTATCACGACTTGAAAAAAGTGTGTGTGTGTGTGTGTATATATGTATATATAGATATATATTTAAAATAATAAAATGAATTTGCAAGCAACCATGTTAAAAACCATGTCCATGACTTAAAAGACCTGTTGCACACAGATTATTTCATCATGACATTGATTATGATGTAGCTCAAAGATGAGTAAGCACTCTTCAGGTTCTTCTAGAATCCATGATAAGAGTTTTCCCATGTAAAGTGACTCGGGCGAGGCTCGCTCCTGAACAGCTGACAGCAGCGTTTCACCGCATCCCGAAGGGCCTCCGTGACCTTGCATAGGGTGAAGATGAAAGGGTTCAGGAGAGGAATAACGACTGAAACCATCAGCGACGCCACCCTGTTGTACTCAGCTGCCTGAGTTTGCTTGGGTTTCACGTAGAGGAACAAGCAGGTACTGTAGCCAATCACGACGCAGGTGAAGTGGGAGGCACAAGCAGAGAAGGCTTTCCTCCGGCCAGAGGTGGAGGGGATCTTGAGGATGGTGGAGATGATGTAGGTGTAGGAGACGATTGTAGGGATCAAAGAATCAAAAAGAACAAAAACAGCCATTAAGAAGAGGATAAACTCTATGAAAAGAGTATTATTGCAGGAAAGTCTGAGCAGTTGAAAAGAGTATTATTGCAGGAAAGTCTGAGCAGTTGCCCTCGGTCACAGAAAAAAATTGTTCACCACATTTGATTTGCAGAAGGTAAGCTGAAATGTGGCATAGACTGGCCAGATTTTAGAAAGGAACCCAAACGCCCACGATGTGATTACCACCCAGATGCAGGTGTGGCTGTTCATGATGACGTTGTACCTCAGAGGGTTGCAGACGGCCACGTAACGGTCCACGGCCATGGCCCCCAGTAAGGCAAACTCTGTGGTCCCCACGGCTAGGTACAGGAAGAGCTGGGTGACACATGCAGCCAGAGATATTGACTGCATCCCAGGGAGCAGCAACCCCCAAAGCATGACGGGGGCGATGATGGATGTGGTCAGGATCTCCAAGGTGGAGAGATGACCAAGGAAGAAGTACCTGGGGGACTGCAGACGTTTGTCAACACAGACCACCACGATGATGACCGTGGTCCCCATTAACGTCACCGAGTAGAAGAAGAAGAAGGTGGCAAAGAGGATGTGGCGTAGTTCCTCGGAGCCGGGGAAGCCAAGGAGATAGAATTCAGTGGTGCTGGCGTGATTGCCCAACATGCAGGTTCCTTGTGGGATTTAAAGACTGAAATACAGGTGACGTGTTTCTGGTCTCGGAAAAGTTAGACATTTCCAATTTGGTGAAATATATTCTACTCCTAGGCTCTAAAACACGATGCTACTATTTTCTATACAAGGTTGGTGTCAAATGTTTTATGAAGAATATATGAAGATAGATGTGTGTGTCCAAAAAGATGATCAAGTCACTGATACCGTGCAACAGGCATGAAAACCCAGCCGCCCCAGTGGACTCCCTTGACTCTCAACTCACAGGACATCCTGCCTCCAACTGAGCTCTACCTGCCACCCTGTCTGCCTCCCTGACCACAAGGTGCTCATTTACACCACCGCCCCGTCCATCCCAAATCCCCCAAATTGTCTTCTCCACCTGTTGTGTCCACATCCTGCCAAATACTGCTGCACTTAGAGACTATTCCTAACCCACCCCACCCAGGCTTGGTTACTTCTCTCTCTTGTCTCCTTTAAACACGGGCTCTATTTGCATCATATTCATTCTAAAGTGTTGCCTCGGTTCTATTTGTCATTTTGGGGGTTGTTGGGAAGTGAGGTCTATCCAAGACATTGTCCTAGGAGCTATTTTGAGATAAAGTATTGAGCCTTTCCCTGACTTCTGGGGTGGATTACCTACTTCTCATGATTATGATGATGAAAGTCATCCTCCACCTCTCATTCAATGAAGCTGTGAAATTTCTTATTTCCTTTAGCTCTGAGATTTTGATTTCTCTGGTCACCAGATGACGACAAGAAAGCGGGGTCCAGAAGGAACCCCCATTTGTACTGCACGGCCTCTACCCCGGAGCCAGGAGACAAGAAAACAGCTGTGCCTTAGAGGCAACATCCTCTAAACTCCCCAGGTCTCAAATTTCTACTTCCAGCACAGAGACAAGACCTGGGTGATTGGTCCCTCTAAACAAACTGCCATGACCTCAGTCTCATAGGGCAACTTGGAAAATTCTAAACAGCATACCTGCCTGTCTATGACCTTCTATTTTCTCCGGAGCCCCAGGGTAAGGCAAAATGTCAGAAGACACCGAAGGAGATCACACTGACTTTCTTAGGACATCTGGGCTCCCTCTCTCGACCTTGAGTAAATACCATGCAGGTCTTTACTCAACTGTCTCCTCTTCTTGGGCCCTTTGTCGCTCATCCTCTGTAACGCAATATACGCGCAAATTTACTCTCTAACTTCTTCAGGTTGTGTTTCCCTTTATACTGGCTCTCATCGATATCTTAAATCACATTATACATTTACTTGATTATTAATTTATCATCGAAACCCCGCATTAGAATTAAGTACCTTGAAGGCAAGTTCTTGTATCACCACCAGTGACAAGAACAGGATCTGCCAATATCTCAATGAATAGATTAAAGAACAAATCGATGAATAAGCAAACGGTACCCACCCTAACCACCTTTCCCTCCGTTCACTCTTCTCTAAGGTACTGCCCGATCAACCTGCAGTCTCTCTTCCTGGAGATCTTGTACGAAATGGCAAGCAGACAGAAGGGAGGTGAAGAGAAATGTGGGCGCAGGGTCTCAGGTCAAGGCAGTGAGCGTGCCTGTCGCCAGCACTGGGCATCCTTGATCCGCTCCTGGCTGTGGAGGGAGGACTTGATATAGAGTCATCTACTCTTGTAGCTCCCTAGTCCTCTCTTAAATTCTAGGTATCCTTGTTTTAGAAGGCGCTGTCACAATGATGCTCTTCTACTCTCCTTCACCAAGAGGAACCCCTGGAAAAGGCTCACCTCCAGAGAGAGGCTGGACTGGAAAGTTCTACTGCTCTTCAGGTGGATAGCCAGGCTACCTCTGCCTGCCCATGCCGCTCCACAGTTGGGAAACTGGGCAACTCCTGCTGTCACCACTCAATGAAGAACACTGTCCATGCACACAGGAACTTAGGGAAAAGTCCCAAAATAACAGTGGCGCTCAGGGGAATCCAGCCTTCTCCTTCTCTCACTCTCCCTGCCTCCTTCTTTCTCTCCCTCTCTGTCCCCAAGGATAGTTAGACACCGAGGAACAATTTGCACAGGTTCCGAGACACACAGGGATGCAGTCAAAGAAAAGCTTTCACTCCTCCCTCCCGAGGCTAATCAAGTTTTAGAAGATGGAAAAGTTTTGTGTAATGGGCAAACTTGACATCTCCTAGTCAGGAGTGTCTCAGCAGCCAGGCTGCCTTCTTCCCAGGCCCTAACTTATCATCAAACAATCCAAACTGTGAACAGTCAGGCCCCCGATCTGATCTGCTTCTCCCTGACTCCGTCAGGCCCCACAGAGCCTACGCTACCCCCAAGCCGACAAGCCCACTAATGGCTCCAAGACACATATCAAAAATCTAGAGGCTACACGATGGCCTCCTGTTCAAAATTTTCACTTCGCCTCCAAGGTTTCATGAAGCCCATCTTTCCTAGGTGACCTCTGTACTCTCTCTACCACATACTCTCTGGCCAAGGTCATGAGAATCTGGTGGGAGAGATACAGAGAGTCAATCTGACATCTACTCCAGCCTCTCATTCTGTTAAGTCTGTTCAACATGCAGGCATCCTGGCTGTGGCTGTTCAGTCACACATTTCCCTTCTAGGTCTTCAAAAGCTATTGGGTCACCTCCCTCAGCTGCTTGAATTGAGGGGTAAAGGTTGAAGAAACTATATTCGGGATCGGCAAAAAAAATGAATGAATGAATAAATGAATGAATGAATAAAAAAATAAACTCTACATAAAAGTGAGGGTGGCTGAGATGTGAAGTCGAATAGCAAAATAACATTTAAAATAGTTGTTTTCATACTGCAAAGAAAACAACTGTCATTTTTCATAAAATCAGCACAGGTCATAATTTAAAAATCAACTGGATGGATATGAGGTAAAATGTAAATGTCCCTCTCCCCATCTTCTTGATCCTCGTAATCCATCTCCTGGAGCTAAATATCGTTATAAATTTCTAGTGTAGTCATACAGAAGTTTTCTGTTTATGTACATGACTATCTCTATATATTCTTTTTAAGTAAATGATATTTTAATAAATATACTATCCTGTTAATTTCTTCTTTATATATATATATATAAAATACATCTTATATGCATGTGGGTATGCATGCTTGCATGTGTATTAAACCTTTGCATATTAGCAACTATATATCAATCACATTTTCAGTGATTGCTTAATATTCACTTTATGAATATACTGATCATTTACTTAATGAGTATGCTGATGAAGATTTTGTTTTTCCAGTTTTCCAGGTCTATAAATACGGCTGCAATCAATACCCTCACAAGTCCGTAAATTTGAACAAGTATACCTTCTTAATTGCAGTAAATTATTAGCTGTTACCAAATTACCCTCAAAAAAGGTACATCAGTTTATAGTCTCTCAAGGTGAGATGATATTGGGCCTATCCCCAGAGCCTCTGTATGATACATATCAAGATGTTTCTATCTCAGCGTTAACCCTGTGCAGATCCCATATCAGGAGTCAGTAATCACACTGTGAAGGAAGGACCCCTCCAGAGGCCCTCATCCCCAGGGGGACTGCCGACGGCTACCCAGCACACCTCTGTCCCAGCATCTGCCTGTCAGCTTTGGAGCAGCTGTGCTGGGTCACGTGATGACTGAGAATCGTGAAGCAAGGCCACTGGCAAACGAGGAATCCGAGGGAGATGGACTCTCTCTCAGAACCTTTTGCAGAACCAACTCCCCTAATTTAGGGCATGGCTCTGTTTCTCTAGATATCCTTCCTGTGTTGTCTAAGGCTACGGGAGCCAGGTACACAACTCAGAAGTAGGAAGGAGTGTAAACTGGTAAAACCCATTGGAAAAATTTTTACCAATTTCTTTAAAGCTAAGTACACACCTACCCTATGATCCAGCAATTCTACCTGTACGTAGCTGCCTAAAATAAGTGAAAACGTATGTCCTCACAAATACTTCTGTTCCAACGTTCATAGTACCTTCATTCATTATAGCTAATAATGACAGAAAAGAAATATTCATCAACAAGAGAAATGTATATTCATATGAGGAAATAGTACTCAACAATGAAAAGTAACAAAATGCTGATTGACACAAAATGGATGATGCTCAGATACCTTACACTGAATGAAAAAGCTAGACGCTAAAGAATGCATCTTGTATGACACTATCATAATTACTGTAGAACAGATAAAAATAATCTGTCAAGAAACCTCAACAATGATTGCTTCAGTGCTAGGGAGAAATTGGGAAAACTTATGAGGGAATTCTTGCAATATGCTATCCTGTTTTAAATTACTGAATTATATTGGCTAACTTTTTAAGATTTTGGCCTCTTCGTTAATGAGAGATATTGGCCTATAGTTTTCTTTTATGCAAAGTCCTTGTCATAAAATCAGCACAGGTCATCATTTAAAAATCCCCCACTCCTAATTTTGGTCATCCTAAAATGAATTGGGAAATACTCCCTCCTTTCCTATTTTATGGAGAAAAAGTTTATATTATTTCCTCCTAAATTACTTGGAAAAACCCATCAATGAGGACATCTAGGCCGGGAGTTTTTTTTTTTTTTTTTTTGAAAGAAAGTAATTACAGGTTTACCGTCTTTAATAGCTATAAGACTATTCGGAATTTCTACTTTAGTTTGTATTCATTTTAGTAAATTCTGTTTTTCAGGCGACTTGCTTAATTCATCCAAGTGGTTAAGTTTACTGACAACGTTGCTCGTGACATCTGCTTTTGTTCTTTTAAGGTTCATCGTATCTATTGTGATATCTCCCGTTTCTGACATTGGTAATTCGTGCTCTTTTATTTTTTTCCCTGCTTAGTCTTGCTAGAGATTTATCAATTTTGTTATTCTTTTCCAAGGCATCGCATTTGGCTTTGCTGATTTTTCTCTATTGCTTCTCTGGTTTACATTTCATGTTCACAAAGCATTCTCCCTGTGTATATCTCGTGTTCTATGCATAAAGACACCACTCATTAGGATTAGGGACCCACCCGACACTAATATGACCTCGTCTTAACTAATTACATCTGCAATGACCCAATTTCCAATTAAGTTTACATTCCGATATACAGGGGGTTAGAACTTCAATATATGAATTTTGAGGGACACAATTCAACCCATAAGAAACATCTTCATTGCTTTCAATGTTTGGCAACTATGAATACAGCTACAATGAACACTCGTATGCGGGTTTTCTGTGGATATGAGTTTTCAGCTCATCTGAGTACCTACCAAGGAACATAGTTGTTGGATTGTATACTAAGAGTATGTTTAGTTTTGCAAGAAGCTGCCAAGCTATCATCCAAAGCAGCTGTACCATTTTGCTTTCCCAAAGCAATGGATGAGAGTTCCTGTTGGTCCACATCCTCACCGGATTTGGTGTTTCAGATTTTAGCAACTCTATCAGGTGTGTGGCATCATAACCTGCAGTTCCCTGATGACATGCGATGCTGAGCATCTTTTCGAATGCTTATTTGTCATCTGCATCTGTCCTTTAGTGAGGGTCTGTTCAAATCTGTTGCCCATTTTGTAATTGAGTTATATGTTTTCTCATGGTTGAGTTTTGAGTTCTTTGTATATTTTGGACACATGTCCAATATTTCATATGTGCTTGGCAAGTATTTTCTCCCAAACTATAGCTTTTCTTCCCATTCTTTTAAGTCTTTCTTTCCCAGAGCAGACGTTTTTAATTTTAATGAAGTCCAACTTTTCAATTTTTTTTCTTTCATGGATCATTCTTTTGGTGTTGTATGTAAAAAATATTCATCAAACCTAAGCTCACCTAATTGATGTTCCCTGAACTTCCCAGATCTGTGGGTAGGTGTCTGTCATTAAGTTTGGAAAATTTTCAGTCATTATTACTTCAAATAATTTGTCTGTTCCTTTCTCTCTTTCTTCTACTTCTGGTATTCCCATTATGAATATGCCTTTTGTAATTATTCCAAACTTCTCGGATATTCTGTTTAATCTTATTCATTCATTTTTCGCTTTGCATTTCTGATCTGAAAGCTTCTAATAACATATTTTCAAGCTCACTATTTTCTCAACTGTGTCCGGTCCTTTGCTGAGCACGCTGAAGGCATTCTTCATTGTTGTTTGCATATATATTTTTTTTATTTCTAGCTCTCCCTTCACATTCTTTCTTAGAGTCTCCAGCTCTCTGCTTCCACTCTCCGTCTGCTCTTGCACCATGTCCATTCTTCCCCCCAAGAGCCCTTAGCACATTAACCATCGTTATTTTAAAAATCCCAGTCTGATGATTCCAACGTTTCTGCCATATCTGGTTCAGATGCTTGCTCTGTCTCTTCCAACTGTGTTTTGTTGTTGTTATTGTTTTACTATGTCTTTTAATATTTTGTTGATGGTCGAACATTATGTAAAGGGTAAAAGAGACTAAGGTAAACAGGGCTTTTATGTGAGGTTTTATGTTTATCTGGCTAGGAATTAGACTGTGTTTACTACTTGCTGTAACTGTAGGTGTCAGAGGCTAAAATCCATCTGTTGTCCTCGCTTTTGTCTCATTTGTTCCCTCTGTGTTTCCCAGAATCCCCTTCGTATTCAAGGTCTGAGACTCACAGTCCTGTCTGTTGTCATCCTCTGTTGTTATGAGGAGCCCTACGCATGCGGTGGTAGGAGTGGGCGGTTGAGCACTCACAGTCTCAGGAGGAGGCCTCGGTCTTCTGGTGAGCCCATGCCCCTGGGTTGGGACTTTCAGCTTCCCCGCACCTTTGGTGGGACAGCAAAGGCAGAGGGGTTGGGGTTGGGTGTTTCCTTTCCCCAGACTGGTTAGACTCTGATAAAATCCGAGGTATTTAGGCTCTGATAAAATAGTCTCCCTTGAAGGCAGGCTGGTTTTGTTTGTTTGTTTGTTTGTTTGTTTGTTTGTTTTTTAAGGAGCAGAATGTTCTGACCATATTTCAGAATGATTATTTTTTCCCCTTCTCCTACTGGAAGCACAAGGGGATGTCTCTGATTTCTCTGATCTTCATTCTGAGATCTTGGTGAAGATCCTGGAGGTAAAATTCACAAATCTGTGGGGGCCCTCCTGAGACTCCCTGGAGTTTTTAACCTTCGAGTTTGTCCACACTGAGCCTCCAGCAATTTGTCAAGTACTCCTTAAGTTTTCCTTCCCTTGTCCTGGCTCCAGTGTGATGGGGACAAAAATGGATGTGATCGGGATCTCCAAGGCGGAGAGATGACCAAGGAAGAAGTACCTGGGGGACTGCAGACGTTTGTCAACACAGACCATCACGATGATGACCGTGTTCCCCATTAATGTCACTGAGTAGAACAGGAAGCACATACAGAGTAATTCTTAGAGGCCATGGAAGCCTTAGAGATAATATTCAGTGGCACTAGAGTGACTCCCCAACATTTAGTTTTGAGCACTTGTTCCTTGTAAAATCTGGAGAGCAAAAGAGAGATAACACTGTGTCTGATCTCGAAAGGAGTAGGAAACAGTTCCAAACAGAGGAAGAATATTCCCCTCCTGTTCACAGGCTCCTGACATGGTCAGGAGCTAATTTTTTTTCTTTTTTTTTAAGAATATATACAATATATGAAGAAAATTGAATCTGGCCAAGAAGGCGAGACTGGTCACCAATGCCATCCCATAGGAAAGACAGTCCCTTGCCTAGTGCACACCACCTTCGCCTCTCAACCCGTAGGTCACCCTGCCTGCCACCTGCTGTGAACAGCCACCCAATCTGCTGCCATGACTATAGTGCACTTCTTTCTACCTCTACATCCTTCACACCTGGAATGCCCTAAACTACCTGGCCCACCAAGTATACTCTGTCTTGTGAGTCCTGCTCCAGTATCATATCCTATAGGAAAGGTTTCCTCCCCAATCCTACCCAGAGCTGGCTATGTATTTGCTTTATATCTTCATGACCCAGAGACCATTTGCAGGATATTCATTTTTAAGCTTTTTCTTTACCTCTGTCCTTATTGGTATCACTGGTGGGAGTGGGTGAGGGGAGCTCTTTGAGGATTTTCTATAAGATCTGAGGGCAAGGATGGAGTCTTTCTCAGTCTACTGCTCAGGTGGTTCCCTGAGTGAATTACTACTTTCTTCCTCCTTATTCTTGGGAGGAAAGGTCTGCCTTATTTTCTCCCAGTGAATGTGCCTTCTCAGCGGAGGCAGACTAGCCAGGACCTGGGCTTACTTCATCAGGACCACTCTCCCCCAGACTCTAATACTAATAATCAGAGGAGGAGGATCTAGAGGAGGGGGTGGGAGGAGCTTCTACACTCCACCTCCACCTGTCCCACATCGACCTCATGCTGGGACTGGCGGGCAAGAGGCTAGAGGTACGGTTTCAATATCCCCTGACCTCACAGGAGCTCAGAATCCTAGATCCAGCAGGGAATCTAAGCCACCACATGTAAACTCTGGGTCCAGACCAAGCCCCACATGCAAGCGGCCATGGTCTCAGACTAACAGAAAATGAAGTGTGTCCCTCCAGAGCCAATGTTCCTTCTACAACCAGGCTCTTTTTTTTTTTCTATATGAAAAACTTAACATTTTATGCTAGCTGTCACTAATATAAAACAGACCCAAGGACCCAAGTCTTTTAGGATTTCTGGGCTCAGCACTCATTACTTCGGATCTTCGCTCAGATGCCCAAGCTCAGGGAGCCTTTCCTCACCATCCTCTCTAGAAGAATACATACCGCCCTCTACTCTCTGTCACCTCTCCAGGACCTCTTTATCTTCTCTGCGCTCCTTACCTAAAAATTCCTGTTTACTTTTTGTTTATTTTCTGTCTCCCATTTTACAATGTAAGCTCCATGAAAGCAAAAACTTTGTCATGCTTGTTTACCTTTTCTGATACTTGATGAATATTTTTGAATAAGTGAATTAATGAATCTATCAATTAAGGAATGCATCTATGAACAAAACTTATCTAGTCCTGGCTATGGCCAATTTTGAAGCAAACTCTCCTTTCTCTCCCTTTGGTCTTTACTGAAACACTGCCCTGTCAACATGCCGTCTTCTCTCTGGAGATCCCGCATGAAGTGGCAACTGGGTAACAAAGATCAAAGATAGATTTGGGAGAACTCAGTAGTCCGCCTCTCATAATTTCTGTTTAGCCAAGACCAAATAACAAAAAAACGAGAGGAGGAACCTGGCAAGAGCAAGGGGCTGTTCTGTCCAGCAGTGAGTCAGGGAAAAGCTAAATCCACTCTCTGCTGTGCAGAGGAAATTTGGAGATGAGCCCATGTGCCCTGCTGCTCCCCCAGCCTACCCTTCAGCCTCCAGGTGTGCTTGTTCTTCTAGACAGCAGCCAGGCCCAGAATTTCTCCTCCTGACGCTCTCCTACTCGGTCCTTCACAGAGGGGAACTAGTGGAAGACATTCACCTCTAGAGACAAAGACTGAACTGGAAAGCTCTCCATGACAGCTCAGGCTACCTCATGCCTGACTAGGCATGCTCTTTGGGCCAGAGTAAACTGTTGCTGTCTCTACTGTCAGCAAAAGAGAAAACTGTCTTCACACTAGTACTTAGGGAAAAGTTTAGTAATAATAATGCAGTGGGAAGCCCAGTTGTCTCCCTCTGATTTTCTCCCTCCTCCTTTTCCTCCCAAGGTGTCCCCAAGGAGAACTATATGCTGAGGAACTAAATTTGCCCAAGTTCAGAGAAACTCTAGGGATATAGTCAAGGGAAAGCCAAAGAGAATTTCAGCCCTTCTCTCTTGAGGTTAATCAAATTGTAGAATGCTTAAAACTTTTTTTTAATGGGAAAACTTGAAATCTCCCTCATCAGAGTTTCTCAGCCTCCAGGCTGCCTTGCTCCCAAGCTCCAAGTCCTGGTTACCACAAAACAGTTTGAACCAGCCCCCTGTCTTCTTCTGTGCATCTACCTCATTCCATTTAGCCCTACAGAGCCTAAGATATCCCCAAGAAGAAGACCTCGCAAACAATTACACGATATACATTAAAAACCAACCGTCTGGGGCTGAGCAAATAACATAAAAAAAAATGGCAGAGTAGGCAGTAGTTTCACAGAAATGTTAGAAAACCAGCAGAAGCTTTCAGAACTACTTTGTCAGAACTCTGGAACTCTCATTCGAAGAATTATAGCAACTAAGGAAACACTGATTCAAGAAAAAAGCAACTTAAAAATGTTAGGAAAGTTTTGTGATGTTTTTACGTACCCTTGCCTGCTCTCTTCAGCTCAGTAACAGTCTTGAGAACTGCAATGTGCATTCCCAGTTCCTGGTTCTAGAGGCAGCAGAGCAAATGCTATTTACAAAGGATTGCCCATGTCTGTTTTACCTGTCTGAGGCTATGGAAGGATTGACACGGGGTGCTTGTCTTTGATTCACCTAACGTGGGACTCACTTGAGGTGGAAAGAGGTGGGCGTTGCTCAAGCAAATTTTTGCTTACCAAAAACCTACAGCCATCTGGGGCAAAAGATTATTATTGAAATATACAATAGACAATCTAAAGCCTCAGAGGGAAAGTTTCTTTTGGAATTTAAAGGTGACTTAAAGGCATCTGCAGAAGACTATACTTTCAGGGATTGTTTTATAGTGTGTCATAAAAGCATCTGCATATACTGGGGGGTTTAGAAAACCACACATGTGCACAAGATGCATGCTCAGAAAAAACCTGAGAAGACACTAACCTTTCGCTTTAAGTAGGATAAACTCATAGAGATCCACACCAAGGCACAGTATAGCTAGTCAAAAGACAAAGAGAGAATCCCGAAATCAGTAAGAGAGAAGCTCTTTGTCACTTAGGAATCCTCACAAGATTAACAGCCAGAGTTCTGGTCAAGATGGCAGAGTGGGAAAACGCTGTGCTCACCTCCTCTCACGACCATGTCAAAATGACAACTAAACTACAGAACAGCCATCATTGGGAATCCCCTAAAGTCTAGCTGAACAGAAGTCCTACATCTGGGGACACACAGAAAAGGTCACCTAGAGACTGGAAGGGAGACAGAGACATGAAACGGGTTGTTCCCACTCCTGCATATGGCGGTTGAGAATTGAGAGAAATATCTCCACTGCAGAGGTTCCCCTAGAGGAGTGAGAGGTCCCGGCCCCACACTAGGCTCCCCAGCCCGGGGTTCCAGTGCCAGGAAGAGATGTCCCCACAATTTCTGACTGTGAAAACCAGTGAAGACTGTGGCTGAGTGAGACGAAGGGCCTCTGGAGTAACAGACATTCCTCTTAAAGGGCCCACGCACATACTTACCTGCTGACGGACTCGCTCGTTCTGGGCTCCAGTGCTGCGGTCACAGCTCGAAAGGCACCAGAGACACACAGGAAGGAACTGAGTTGTCTGGCTGCAGGGCGAGAGCTGGAGGGGCCACTTTCTCCTAGACAAAAGTGCTGGCAGAGGGCATTGTTCCTTTGTTGAGCCCTCCCCTGTCCAGCTTGCAGACCCAGGTGGCCGCCATATCTGAGCGTCCAGCATTGTAGCTAACACACGGGTCGCCCCACCCTAATGATTCCCTGAGACCCCGCCCCTCCCAACCTGCGGCCCGCCCAAACCACTTCCAGTGGATTTTCCATACAAATGTCTTGGCTCATGCTGCAGACTTTCCTAAAATCTCTCAAAGGGTCATGAAACCTAAACAAGCAGCATCTGGCCTTGGCATGCCCCATACCTGTTGCTAAGAATCCCCAAGCCTGGCACTAGCAGTATCCAGCCTCAGTTTGCAGCTTGGACTCTCAACCAGCATGGGTAGCAGCCATCTACGGATTGTTTGGTGGCTCATGCCAGGTGGCCCCAGGCAGGGCACAGGCTGCTGCTGAACTTGGCCTGTGGCAGGGCACCTCCCAGGAGGCTCCAGCTCGTTCCGAGCCACAGCACCACCCAAGGTCACATGTGAGGACAACACACCCAAAGGGCAGACAGAGTAGGCAGTAGAACCCTGCTAAAGCAAATCCTGTGCTGTAGGGCCAACCCCTGCACAACATCTCCTCCACTGGTCACGGCCAGTCATCACAACCAATCACCACAAGGGTCAATCCCTCCCATTGAAGAGCAAACAGCAACCAAGGCTCAACTACAACAAGTGGGCACACACGACCCATTAAAGGGACATACCAGGAGCACCTGGCTCAAGTGACCAGGGAAGACTGTGCCACTGAGACCGACAGCACAGCTACTACATATAAAACAAATTTAAACCCCAAATTCAATAATTTTCCAAATTTATATTATTTGTCAGTCTAGGCTAAGAATTGAACCATCATCTACTGAATATCAATCCCCATCGTATTTCCAAAGAAGGGGAAGAAAAGGTGTGATGTCAGAAGTATGTAAAAAATGGGCAAGTGTGTGTAATAAACGTGAGATTAGAATGGTCTAAACAGGGAACCAAAAGAAATGAAGACCCATAGTCAGATTTCCAAATGAACTCTCCAGGAAGCAAAATATGGAACATATACACATGAGTTTAAAAGAGATCTTTGAAATAATCTATAAATAAAGTTATAGACCCAAGAAAGGTGATCCCTCTCTTCTTGAGCTGAAGATCAGACATGATTGAATCAGAAGGTTGAAGACAAGATGAGAACCAGAGTTCAGAGAAGAGCCATCCATCATACCAAACAGAGCAAACTACCTGTTCCCATTACTGTTATGCTCTCCATTTGCCACACTGAAATCTGTTGGCCCATTCCAGGGTTCCATTTCAATGCAATGGACTTAAGCTAAAGAGAAGGAAGAGCCCAGAACATTATCCTGAACCCATGTAAAGAAAAAAGGAACCAAAAAGGGGATGCGACGTTGTTTGGTGGACCTGTGGGGAGAGGCATGGTCATGATGGTGAGACAAGATGGAACGCAGGGTACCTGCAGTCCGTGGTGGACCAAGTTAAAGTGGGGGCTAGGAAAGAAAAGCCTTTGGAACCAATCACCTACAGGATCAGAGTTCAGGAGTGTGAAAAGTACTCACACTCTTGAAAAATTAGGAGTGTGATAAACAGCTCAGTCTCAGATAGGTAGATAGACAGGTAAATGACAGACAGAGAGACAGACAGACAGACAGACAGACAGGTTTACCCTTTTCTTTTTATACTGGGGAGTGAGGTGAAATGGAGAGAATGTACTCCATACCAGAAAATTCAAGTCCAGAAGATACGAAGTTAAAATGCCCAGTAAGTAAAGAATTGGTAGCACAGCAATTAAGCCTGATTCAATATAGAACAACTGCGGTATAATAGAGACTGATCTATAAGTATGAGGACAGACATGGAGTGTACGTGGGTTGTTAGGAAGATCTTCCCAGTGAAAAATTCAGGTTGCAACTAACTCAGTTGGCTAAGGAGAGTAAGGACAGTAAGTAAGGATGGACAGTATCTCTAACAACTTTTAGTGGGAATTTAGTAGGCAACGAAAGGATGAAACAGGTAGAAACTGTTAAAAGTACTAACCACTACCAATTCCTGACCCCTCCTATGTACACTGAGCATTTTCTATATTATCTCTGATCCCTATCATAGTCTTAAAAGGAAGAATGGTTTTTGTTTTCTGAAGCTTTGTAAAAGTAGGTGATTTATATCAATTAGATAGCAATCTGAACAAAAGAATCCCAATATTTCATAGCACAGGACAAATCAAATAATGTTCTACATTCAGATACTGAAATTTCTTGAATGCTCAATATTTCATATGAAAATGGACAAGCTTTTTTTTAAAAAAAAAAATCAGTTTATTCTATCACGGATTAATGAAAAATAATATGCGGAGCGACCGACAAGTGTCTTTTGGGTGGGCTTATAGATGAAAGTGCGTTCATTATAGGAAGTACACCCAGGGGCACATATGAAAACTCCGTGCAAAATCCTCATGAATTCCGCCATTCTGTTTCCCTTTTAAAAAGTACACATGATCCTCAGCAAATAAAAAAAGCAGTAAACTGGAAGGAAAACGTATTGGAAAAAACCTATCCTACCATTTATGGAATCTTAGATATCTGTAACACACATTACAGTTATAGTTCAAAAGATAGAAATCCTCATTCCAAAAATCACATCGACCTTTGGGTAGCCTAAGCAAATCTAAGCAAAGTTTGATTTCTATAGATCTTTTAAGTAGCTAATGAAAACATTAACTACAGCCACCCGTAGATACACACATGTGTGCATACACGCACACACGCGCACACACACACGCTCACTCACCCAGGAGACAGTTGGTCTTTAGAACTAATCAGTTTTAGTTCTAAAGACTAATCATCTAATCAGTTTTCAGCAAATCCCTGTTCAACTACGTGGCATGTGGTTTATATCATGCCCCAATAGACTCCCAGTAATTACTGTCCCTCACATCCACTTGTCTATTTTGTTCTTAGGGTAAAGCAAAGAATGTTTTAAGAGAAGTATCTGAGTTGGTAGAATCTAAAAATCTTCCTGGGTGAACTCCACTTCTTGAGACCACCATTCACATTTTCAATGTTATAAACACTTATTCAAGAGTTGGGAATAAGCAGAGAAGCAATTAAAGAAACTAGAGCCATGCCAACACCCAGGAGCCATCAGTGATCTCATTTGAAACTCCAAACCAAGCCTAGACCTTAGGAAAGACTGGGACTGAGATACGTAACACGGTTGCCATAGATCAGTTGGATGTAAGGGTGTCAAAGGAGCGCTCTATCTGCTTATTTGTAGAAATAATGTTCTTGATCCATGGAGTGTAGCTGTAGAGGTCAGTGAAGACAGCAGTGTGTCCTGTCAGAACACATCCAGTTGCCCAAGACATAATCCCTCGTATTTCGTTGCCACATATGGCTGGTACGGCTGTGACCACCTGCCAGACAGAGGAGAGAGATCGGAACTTCCCCTCCCACCTGACAATTCCTCAGCATCTGAACAAAAATGAAAGCCATTATATTTGCCATGCAAAGGAGCCCAGGATATAAGAAAATAGTGTGAAAGCTTCTTTCCACTGCAGTATTACCCCTACCTCCCAGTAATAGCTAGACAGAGATTTCAAAGCAATAGCTGGAAGACAGTTTTACACTTCCCCCCAAAATCTATTTCTCTCATCTCTAACACAAGGTGTAAGAGAGAGTGTCATCATTCTTCAGCCCCTTACTCTCTGGGCTCCTAGCCTGACTTCACATTCCAGACCCTCAACTAAGGATAAGAGATAAAGACACAAAGAAAA